TGTGTGTGTGTGTGTGTGTGTGTGTGTGTGTGTGTGTGTGTGTGTGTGTGGTGGGGGGGTTGTGCACATGTGTGCACGCACAGGCATGTGTCTGATGGCACTTCAAATTGATAGCACTAGTAATCCCAGGGAGGGGAATTGAGTAGAGTGGTGAGTTGTCAAGTGGGACTTCAACTTTATCTGTAATTGTTTCAATTTTTATAGTGACAATATATTCATGGATTACTTGGGTAATGAAAAATAAATGAAATTAACTGTAGTCTGTGCTTGTTGAGTTTCTGCAACTTAATTTCTATCTGCCAATGAAATAAATCTGAAACCTTTCATTTGGGTTAATCGCCCAACTAAATGTGTTGCTCTGTTGGAAGAAAACCAAATTGTGAGGCACTATTCAGGGCTCTGTGCTGTGGATTGCTATCTGGTCTCAGCATCGGTCTTTTGCTGTTCCCTCTTTCTAGATATGTACTCAGTATGTAATATACACTTGCTCTGATACTTTGACTTCCTGGCCCCTGACTGACCTAAAGGGATAAACAACAAATCCAGCAACTTTCTCTCTTGCAAACATGAGAGAGTACATAGCTACCTGGTTCATTTCCAGCTGGAAGCAAAGCACAGTAGGTAGGGTATTTACTCCTACCATGAAATGAAAATGGATCTCTATTTGGCTTCCCAAAATAAGCTGAAAAAATCACTTTTCCAGTGTTCAGACAGCATCCTGGGGATATTTTGGTAAAGTGGCAGGCATAAAATGAACAAGGAGATTAGTCTTAGCACGTAATGTAACTTTGGCTGGAAGCACACATAGCAAGGCATGGCAGTAAAGGCACAACCCCCAACCTTCTCCAGGTGTGTTTCCTCCGGGCAATTTCTCACACTGCATTAATAATACCTTAATGATACCCATTTGGTGTTTTATAAATATTTCAAAGTACTTCTACATTTCCATTGGCCCATTTTACATCTATCATGTGCCCACAATTGTTGGTTGTGGGGTTTGGAACAGAAAGAGCCATTTTTTTCTCCCACAGGAAGCTCAGAGTGTAGTTCAGGGATGCAGGCACTTAAGCCAATATTAAGTGTCAAGTTTCCTTTCCATTAAGCAAGGAAAATGCCATGAGAGAAAGAAACACAGGAGCTGTGGGAGAACAGAGAAGAGCATTGGGAGAGGTGTAAGAGAGCAGGGCCGCTTTAGGAAGAGGAAATGGCATGTGCAAACACACCGAGGCATAGAATTGTACCTTGGGTTTTGAGGAACATAAGTTATTGAGGGCAGGACATGAGCATAGTGAAAGCTATGGCCAAATGGAGGGTCTCTGGTACTTATCTATGGAAACTGAACCTGATCTGGAGGCAAGAACATTCAATGGATTCTAAGCAAAGAGGGGACTTGAACATATTTGCACTGCAGGATAAAGAATCAATTGGAATGAGGCAACAGTGGAGGTTGGGAGACTACTTAAGAAGCTATCTGAGCAATCTGCAGGAGTGAGGCTGCTCTAAGACAAAGGTCCTAGGAAAAGGGAGAGGCAAATGCAATTGAGAGAAGTTAAGGAAGTAGTTTCTAGAGAATTTGATGAGTTGCTGGGTGTTGGAGAGATGTGTGGACGGGAGTCTAGGTTGCTGGCTTTGGTGTCTGGATGAGTAGGGGCGCCATTCACAAGGCAGTGAAAACAGTAAGGGGATTAGGGTCAGGAAAGGATTGATAAGGATGCTCTTAGAATATTTATTTTCCCATACTTTCTAATGAAATTCTAGTGGACTAGATATGAT